TTTTCAAGCATTTTTGAGGCGAACCAGTGTAAAAGCAGCCTAATATGGCAATGACCAAGTAAACAAGAAATGCCTAGGACAGCAATGGGCAAACTACGGCCTGCGGGCCGTATACGGCCCGGCGGACCTTTTAATCTGGCCCGCGGAGCGTGAATTAAAAAAAAAAAAACAGCCAGGGCAGGCAAACATTGGCTGTCAGGATGTGTGTAGGTGGGGCAGCGTGACGAACGTGAGGGGAGCTAGGCTCCTCTCACAGTCCGCCCTGAAGACTGGAACGGCGCGGGAACACGGCGAGAGGAACGCACGGAGCAAAGGTAAGTGAATTGACACAGGGTGGACTTGGCTTACTACTTGGGGGGGAATAGTACTGTGGGGGATGAAATACTATATGGGGGATGAAATACTATATGGGGGATGAATTAATATGGGGGATGAATTAATATGGGGGATTAATTACTATGCTTACTATGGGGGAATATAACTATACTTACTATGGATGGCATGGTAGTGGCTGGGCCGGCCAGCAGCTAGTGGGGGGCGGGGCTGTGGGGGAGTACGGATTGAGCCAATAAGAAAGCACTGCGCAGTCTCATTTGGTGACTGGTGGCGATTGTGCGGCCTGCATCTTTTCCCCTGCTACACAGTAAGTAGTGGTTGTTAAAGCAAGTCTACTCTTGGTCCGGCCCCCGGGTCCAATATATGAACCCATTGCGGCCCTCAAGTCAAAAAGTTTGCCCACCCCTGGCCTAGGAGGTACCTAGCATCAAGGAAGAAAAGGAGATATTGTAGAACCGGAGAGAAGGGGAAAAAAAAGTGAGAGGGAGAACATAAAGGAAATACAAGACCAAAGCACTATGTAGAGTGACTAGGCTGGGCATCCATTTATAGGATGGTGAGTAAAAAAACAAGGAGATGAAAGATAAGAGGCAAATTTGTGGGAGTGCTGGAAGTGACAGCAATTCACTGGGAAGATTAGTGTCCTGCTTTTTCTCCTCCCCCCACCTCTCAGCTGCATAAGGAGGTTAGAGGGTGTGTGATCACTTATAAAACTGGGGAAAAAAAGGTACTTATCTTTACTATTATTATACAGGATTCATATAGCGCCAACAGTTTGCTCAGCGCTGTACATTATACACGAGACAGTACTATAACAATATGATTCAATACACGAGGGGTTCAAGGGCCCTGCTCCTTGGAGCTTACAATCTAGGAGGGAGGGGATGGTGGTACAGGAGGAAATAGCTGTGGGGGATGGAGTGGTAGGAATAGTGGAGGAGTTCAGTAATTAGCTGAGGGCGGGGTAGGCTTCCCTGAAGAGATGGGTTTTCAGAGTGCACCTAAAGGTGAGGAGAGTAGGTGATAGTCTGATGGATGGGGGAAGCCCTGGAGACGGGCACAGGAGGAGGAAACCAGGGAACTAGAGAGTAGGAGGTCTTGTGAGGAGCGGAGAGTACGTTTTGGGTGGTATTTGGTTATCAGATCGGTGATGTAGTTTGGGGCAGTTTTATGAACAGCTTTATAAGTCAATGTTAGCATTTTGAATTTTATCCGTTGGGCAATCTGGAGCCAGTGGAGGGATTGGCAGAGAGGGGTGGCGGATACGGAGTGGTTAGTAAGGTGGATGAGTCTGGCCGCAGCATTCAAGATAGACTGAAGCGGGGATAGCCTGCAGTGGGGTAAGCCGATGAGGAGGGAGTTGCAGTAATAGAGTCGTGATATGATGAGGGAGTGAATGAGTTGCTTAGTGGTTTCCGAGGTTAGGAACGGTCGTATTTTGGAGATGTTGAGGAGGTGACGTCTACATGAGTTTGTCAGCGTTTGGGGCTGGAAGGATAGATTGGAGTTTAGGATGACACCTAGTATTCTGGCTTGAGGGGAGGGACTGATGGTGGTGTTGGTCTTGATGGAGAAGTGAAGCATCAATCTATCTGGCACCAAAAATTATTGGCTGAAAATAGGGTTATCGGCACAGGTTCAGATAATTAACTTCAATGCTAAATCGCGTCCCGTTGACTTCAATGCAAATTCGCCTCTATTTAAGTTTTTAATTTTTATATATATTTCAGTACTATCAAAAAATATTCTGTTACTGGATTGTATATTTTAAATTCATAATAAGTAAAAAGTCAAATATAATACAATTATTTATAAAAAAAACTGTTTTGGCCTAGGGCATCCTGAATTTTCTGTTTTGGTCTACAATTTTAGTTTCGGTGCACCACTATTTTTTATATGTATACACAAATATTTTGCCTTTCATTTCTATTTTAAATTTACTGGGTTGTTTTTAGAAGGTGAGGGTTTACGTATGTATACTTTAAGCTATTTTTAACATTCTGAAATATTTGACATTAATTTGTCTGCATTGTTGTTTGTTTCTGCAGTTGTTTTACTCCTTCTTCAAATCACTTGTGGGTAAGGATGTTGTAGTGGAGCTGAAGAATGACCTGAGGTGAGTATTCTCTTCATTGATGGCTTTGTTGTATTCTTCACCCTCCCATAGAGCTATATCCTTGGAAAATTCATGGTGACACACAGAATTTCACTTAAAGGTGAATTTGTGCTTTGTCCGTGCAGAGACACAGAAAAATTAATCTTAACATCTTTATATTGATATTATGATGTTAAAGGAAAAGTGTGGGAATAAACAAAACAAAAGGGGAAAAAACATGCATACCTATATGGTTGCAGAATAGATGTGATGCTGCAGTTGTCCCCTGCTGGATCGAGGCCTGAGAACTAAACCTTCATCACCAACCGGTCAATTCTCAGTCCACTCTGAGCTGAGAGCAATGACTGTCCGTGGGCAAGGGAGAGCCTGAGCCAGATAAGGATCAGGCATCTGGGTGGATCCCCTGCCAGCTGATTCTGGGCACGGGAGTTCAAAAGTAAGTGTACTCCTGCGACCCTAAAGAGAACTATGGCCAAAGAAAGCTTTGGGCATACTACTTTTGCTTATCCCCTGAGCTCTGCCACGCCGTCTGTTTCTATGGTGGCTCTTGTGCTTGCTTCTGCCAGTGAACTATAGGGGAATATGCTGATGCTGCCTTTGCCTGCACACCCATGCAGCCTGAGATTACTACGTAAATACAAAATAAATAACATTGGGGGTGTGTTCATGCTGGCGCAAGATCTGTCCCGCTGAATAAATCTGGCCTTGTAATGTGTGCACTCTCCTCAGCAGGATGTTTGGGGAAGCTGCATACAAGGAACTGAGACAGTACACTGAAAAGCGAGTGTTTGTTTGGGAACTGTTTAGCAAATAGTTAATGTGCTGTACAGTACATAGTTGATGAGCAGTGGGTTGCTGAAAAAATATGCTTTAGTACTACTTTAATGCCACCCTCCAGTAACAGTAGTGGTGTTTTTTTTTTTTTTTTTTTTCTTTTTCTCCCCTTTGGCTGCTGGAAGAAAAGAGCAGAAGCCCTGCTTAAGTGCTAACCAAACACAAGCACTGTCACATGGTTGATTTTGGTAGCAGTTAAAGTATATGTAAACTCTTACCCTGTATAACAACCCATTAAAATAGAAATGAAAGGAAAACATTTATGTATACATACAAAAAGGTGAACTTATCCTTTAACCGCTTACCCGCCGCTGTATAGCAGATGTACTGGTACACGGTGGCACGGGTGTGCAAAATCACGTGTGTATGTGTACATGATTTTGCATTTCCGGCTAGGGGGCGCGTGGACGTCCATCCACCGGGTCCTGACCAGTGATTACCGACAATCACCAATGGGGAGAAAGACTGTTTTGTTTATAATCAGTCTTCCTCCCTGTCAGCTCGGGCACACTGTTCGGGATGGCTGTGCACAGCCTTTGATCGCCCCTCCCCCTCCCGTGTCAGAATGCCCGCCGCAGTCCCGCTAAAAGTCGCTGATTGTCGCCACTACTAGTGGGCAAAAAAAAAATCCCAGTATCTATACCGCCATTTTGTAAACGCTATAACATTCACATAAACCAATTAATTTACACGTATTGGGATTTTTTTTTTTTTTTTAGCAAAGACGTAGCAGAATACATTTTGGCTTAAATTTTTGATTAAATTTGATTTAAAATTTTTGAACATGTTTAATAGCAAAAAGTCCAAATGTTGTTTTTTTTTTTTTTTTTTTTTTTTTTTTTTTCTCAAAATTGTTTTTTTTTTTTATAGCTCAAAAAATAACCGCACAGGCGATCAAATACCACCAAAAGCGCGCAATTCATGGGGGAAAAAAAAAAAAAAAGGACGTAAATTTCATCTGGGTGCAGCGTTGCATGACTGTGCAATTGTCAGTTAATGTAAAGCAAAAAATGGCCTGGTCAGGAATGGGGGTAAATCCTCTGGAGGGCAAGTGGTTGTTTTATAACATGTTACAGATGCACCGTCCTCCGCTCTCCTCCCCACTGGATGTCACAATCTAAAAGAAACATGTAATTCATTCACAGTATTCTGTGAATGGGAAAACTACCCTTTGCGGCTGTTGGCTTGTAGTTTTCAATGAACTACCAGGCCGCTGTTGAGCTCTCTAGGTAGTCATTGAGCTTCCTGTCGTTGTGTAACTGCCCGCCCGTATTGGAGGTACGGGCATTCAGATATACAGATAGTCTGCAGGACTGTGGCATTACACCTGTGATCTGCTGATTGTGGATGCAATGCTTAACAAAATAATGAATGCATTTTTTTTTTTTTTTTTTTTTTAACCTGCAAAAAGTGTGAACTTATAATACCATCTTTACAGGGTGCACATTTTGATTCCAGCTCTATTGCAGCTTGTTTTGGTGGTTCTATTATAGGTACTGGTGTTTTGTGGTTCCTTACAGTAGGCAAATGTGAGGGGCAGGAGCTAATAATGATCTGTGTGAGAGTTTTGGCCAGATGGCAGCAGACATTTTTACTTTGCACGATGTCTCCCAGTAGTAAAGGGTAGTGATGTGACACTCTTGTGATGATGCAAAGCTTCACATGTGAAAATGACATTAAAGCACCTTTGCTGCTTTGGAACTAATACCTTTTCTCATATTTCAGTATTTGCGGTACACTACACTCAGTTGACCAGGTAAGACTGAAGAACTTTTTCTGCTTGTATTTGAAGTATGGTTTTATTGCATTGTCCTTTTTAATAGACATGTATAATGGTTTCCCAGGAAGTCCAAGATGATGATATCTGGTTTAGGATATTTATTTTGGTTATAGGTCTGCAGTCTTTCTTTTACAAGTAAACATTCAGGGCCAGTTCACACCATGCCCCGAGCTGAATCGCACAGGAACGTGCTGTGCATTCCTGTGCAATTCATGTGTGGCTCTGTGCTGTGAGATTTCAAGCCCATTCATTTGAATGGACTGAAGTTGCACCACACCAAAAGTAGTGCATGTGCTACTTTTTGGCACGCATGGCAACTGCTTTCTACCATGCGATTTGGAGCAGGTAAACGCAGTATGATTGCGACCTGCATTTGGCATGTCGTTAACTTTTAACCCCTGCAGCAGATCACAAAGGCATTGCGACCAAAATGGAGTGCGGGTAACCGCCCAGGACCATGGGTCTACCTTGCCGCGTTGTAGTGTGAACAAGCCCATAACTGAAAGCCAAACGTTTTGTCTTGGAGTGGAGAGGTATCGGCACACCTGTCAGTGTTTTTATTGCGGTCTGTGTCCCAGTCAGGGAGATTCACCCTCTTTGTCCCGGTGACAATCATCATAGAAAGTGAAAGAAAATCCAAGTTTTGAGAGTGATTAGCAGAACAGGAATAGACAGGCAAGCATCAAGCGGGGGCACTAGTTCTTGTGACCAGGGATTTTACTCACTTTGGAGTGATTTCCTCTTCCTGTTGTGGCTATGGGACCCCCCCCCCCCCTTTCCCCCCCCAGGACATAGATGGCAAAATCTGACAGGTGTTATAACCATCCCCTAGATCTCATTACATGGGCACTGGGGCCTGTAGTCCATGAAAGGGCTGCTGCATCCCTATACACAAAACATGGACTGCTTTCACATAGCACCTGGCAGCTCAAGCCACATAACTACACAGCTCATTCACGGGCTACAGGCCTCAGCAGCCATGTAAATGAAGCCCTATCCTATGCAAAACAGCTAAAAAAAGTTTGGATTTAGTTTACCCAATATGAAATGAGGCTAGAATTACTGATCTATTTATGAAAGCTACTTAGCTAATTTTCTCTGACTTCAGTTGTTCCTGGGACTGTAGCCTAGAGCATATATGTAGCAAGTTAGAAATATATATATATATATATATATATATATATATATATATAATATTTGTTTTTATATAGCCGATTGGCTTAGAAAGTACTGTAGGCAGAGGATCTGCGTGACTGCCAGTCAACTATAGAAGCCCTCAATGGCAACCTCTAATTTCTTTTGTTTTTCTGTTTATATGTAATCCATGCTAATGCGACATTATACTTCTGCATGTATTTTTCTAGTACCTAAACATCAAACTGACAGATATCAGTGTGACAGACCCGGAGAAATATCCGCATATGGTGAGTCCCAGTTTTTCTAGCTGCCCATGCACAACTATCAGCCCATCCATAGGGGTATATTTATTAATTCCTGAGTCCATACTAATACAATGCCTGAAGCTTTCAAGCCGTATGTTCCACACCAAACATTCTTTTGAAAGCCTATTCACACAGAAGTGGACAGAGGTGGCTTAGTGTGTGGCCACTGTCTATTGTAGGCCTTACTTTTAAAGTGGTATTAAACCAAAAAAATACATTTGTTAAGCCACAATTTAATACATTTTGTTTTTGGGTTTAAGAATTCTTCGATATGGTGGCTGTGGTGTGTGGGGTTTTTTTTTTTTTTTTTTTTTTTTTTTTTTTCTTTTCACCTGTTGATCCAGCCAGTAAGTCTGTTTTTCAACTTGCTTTGACAGACCAAGCTGTCAAGACAAACCATATACCACTGAGAGGCGTGCATACAATGGTCTGCTTTTTATTAATTTATGTAAAACCTTTATCCCAAAAGGAACAAAACGGTGTGCTGTAACTACTTATGAAGTGTGGCATTCAGCTTCAATTTGTCAGTCAAATCCATCTAAATCTGCTAGTGCTTTTAACAATTCCCTCTACGCAGACTGGCAATGCTGCTGTCCAAAGGTGTCTTATTTTATTACTGCATCCAAAGTGCAGACACACTAAGACCGAAGTGTTACTAGCTGGATAACCAGGGAAAACAAAAAAACTATTGCAGCTACTACATCGAAGGATTGGCAAGCTGAAATATACATTTTTTTGCTTTTGGGTTTAATATTCTTTAATGAACAAACAGAGCCACTGTTACCATAAGGGACATAGGTGCCTTCTACTTCTAATGCTCACCAGAAGTATTGTAGCCTTTCCTTGTACTTTTGTGAAGGAGATTAGATTTATAAGGGCCATTATAATGGGGGGGGGGGTTAGTTACCTGGCTGTCTTGACCCAGGAGTTCTGATTTCATTCTTTCCTGGATTAGTAACTCTATTGCAGCCAGACGCAGATGATCCTCACGCATTTTAGAAACAATTTACATATTGTATTACATTTCCTCTCTGGTGAACTCTCAGGATGGCAGTTAAATCACAGTCCAGGCTTCCATCCAGCACTCTAGGGTGCCATTTCTACAAGTGCTACATGTTTGTAGCCAGGAACATCTCTATATGCATTGCTGCAGCTGTGTTGCTTCATATCTTTATCTTGGCTCAGCATCCTGAACCAGAATTTGATTTTCTTCTATTTTATATTGGCCCTTTTGCTTTCTTGAACAGCTGTCTGTGAAGAACTGCTTCATCCGGGGCTCAGTGGTACGCTATGTCCAGCTTCCGGCTGATGAGGTGGACACTCAGTTACTTCAGGACGCAGCAAGGAAGGAGGCCGTGCAGCAGAAACAGTGACCTACTGGGATAGAATTTTATCAGACCATACAGGGACTACCGGCCACTGTTGCCTTGTGTTCAGGCTGATCAGTGTATCCCTTATTTTTCAGATAGATCACATTTAAGAACTTGGGTGTTTCACAAATGATCCAAAAAAAAATTTTTTTTTTCTCTGCAGGCTAATGTGATAACCTGCTAACCTTTAAAGAAGAAGCCTTTAAAAACTCATGATCAAACTAATATTGTGACTTTTATGTTTTTCCACTTGTTTTATTGATGGGCTTGTCCTACCATCAGCTGTTGCAACACTGACACCAGCAGATGAAACCTGGGTATTGCACTCAAGCCAGGCTTTCATTTCTTTTTATGACTGTGTTGGCTATTGTGCTACAAGTATGCTGAGACTTTTTCAATTTCATTTTGCAGGCTGGTATGGAAGTTTTTACTTATGTGTTGTTGGGATTTGTTTGAAACCCTGATTCTTTGGAGTCATAGCGGTTTATCTACTAAAGGCAAATAGGTTGATTTTGCAAGAGCATTTTCCCTTGGCTTAGTGATTAGGAAGAAGCTCTGTTGACTTCCATCATCCAATCACATGCAAGCAAAAATACCTGTGTGTGCGTGCTGTTTTGTTTTTTTTTCCTCCTACCTTTTTTCTTTTCACATGATTGAGTGTGTTTATACATGGCTTTTTCACCACAAAGCCAAGAGAAACCTCCCTTGTAAAGTGAACAACCTTTAGTAAATTAACCTCCAGGTGCCAATTCAGTTTAAAGATTTTTTTTATTTTTTGGGGGGTTTATTTATGTTCAAAGGGAGCTTTAATTTCCGTAGGACAATGTAAAGCCAACCGGCTTGAAAACAATTCTGTAAGGATGCATCAAACTCATTTGTTAAGTATATATATATATATTTTTTCATGTAACGTTAAAGGATTTTCAGAAACATGTCTGTCTGGGGAGAAACCCCCCACATTTTTTTTTTTTATATATATTAAATAAAATACTGTTTGGGTTTCACCTGGCCTGCTGTATTCAGTGTCCAACTCTAAAATGTTCATGTCTCACCTAGACATTTTAAAAACCTACAGCTAAAAGTGTTTGTTTACACAGCATAAAAGCATGTATTACAATATGTGTGAACTAAATATCCCTATTTATTGCATAGTCTGCTTGAAAGGGTATATACCAGTGTGCAGAGGGTCCTTCAGAATTTCTAGTGTTAATATGTGGTTACACCCCCTTAGCACCTGATGGATAAATGCATGCACTAGCTTTTGGGATTTGAGCACAGGTATCTCTTGTTTGTTGGGTCAGTAGCCAGACCTGAACCTTGTAGCTCTCTCCCATTGTGTCTTTTCCCCTATGCTAGCATTGTGTCCACAGTAGTATTTGCGTAGGCAGAGCAGAGTAGGACTGGCCATAGAGGGATTACTTTGACGCAGTTGGCCAGCTTAAGCATGTATTGCAATATGTGTGAACTAAATATCCCTATTTATTGCATAGTCTGCTTGAAAGGGTATATACCAGTGTTCAGAGGGTCCTTCAGAATTTCTAGTGTTGACACAGCATATCGAATAGGACAAGGGATCATGTGTTATGGTTCCATGAGGATTTCATCCGAACCGGATATCGTATGTACTCTCCAGCGCCTCAGGATATGCACAGCCAAAATGGAAGCCAAGGGTACCAGGACAGCGACAAGCAAAGGAAATGCTTCAGGGGTGCAGCCCTCCTCAGACGGGGAAATCAGCCACTGGATAGAGAGAAAACAGGTGGCGCACACACCTAGTGCATTATCCAAGGTTTATTGTAGGAGTGAAAGAATAATAAAAACATACTCACAGACAAAGCATGTATCTAAAAAGCATAGAAAAATGACAATGGCCACAACAGCAGGCAAGGTGTTCTCATGGTCAGTGCGGTCAAATGGCTGACACGTTTTGGGGACGAATCCCTTTCCTCAGAGCTGATGACCAACCGCTGATGTATGCTGAATGGAAAGTAAGAGCCTTGCTGTTGATGCCTGAGTGGGATGGTGTGGGAGTGTCTCGTGGTTTGCATTCCAGCAGCCATTTCCCCACAGGCATAAAGCACACTCCCACACCATCCCACTCAGGCATCAACAGCAAGGCTCTTACTTTCCAGTCATCATACATCAGCATCAGAGGTTGGTCATCCACTCCGAGGAAAGGGATTCGTCCCCGAAACGCATCAGCCATTTGACCGCACTGACAGTGAGAACACCTTGCCTGCCGTTGTGGCCATTGTCATTTTTCTATGCTTTTTAAATACATGCTTTGTCTGTGAGTATGTTTTTTATTCTTTCACTCCTACAATAAACCTTGGATAATGCACTAGGTGTGTGCGCCACCTGTTTTCTCTAACCATGAGGATTTCATGCCTGCTTTAGCAGTAATAAATTGCCATCTGCATACCAGTGGTCTCTGTTCACCACTGTTGACAAAGGAATCTCTAAAAATCTGAAGACCTTTCCATTGTTTTATGTGCCCAACCATGTTTTGTTGTGTAGTCCTTTTACAGAAGTAGAAAGCCGTTTCTAGGTAAGTGCCATTTGTACATGTCAGGCCTATAAATGAGTATCCTATACACTAGGTGATGGCTGTGGCATTCACATAAAGTACATTGTGGGCAAGAAAAACCCGTGAGTTGCCCACTGGTGACTTCTCATGCTGCAAAATGTTAATTACTTGGATGCAATGCTGGACCTCTGACCTCAATCTAAATAACACAGAAAAAGTGTGTGCACAAGACCTGACTTTACAGAAACTGCCCTAATACTTTGTACAGTGGATCAGTATAATGGGCAACTAGCATTTTCAGAAGTAGGACTGCAATGGCTGCTTTCATGGTGCTCTTAGCAATAGTTTACTTTAAATGCTTATTTGCAACACTTTCCAGGTACAAATACATGAAAGTAGGTGCTACTACCTCCCAGTGTTTTTTAATGTAGCTTTATCACTGGCGCAGAGGCAACTGATTCCTCATCCACAAGATCCTTATAAGCAAAGAAAAGCCGTCACTCTGGTGTATTACTCTGCAATCTTGTATTTATTGGCGGGTAACAGATGACAGCCATAAATGTCAATGCACTTCAGTCAAATTGGCCATATTCATGAGTCACGAATTAGGCCAGAGTGGTTGAAACGGGCTGACATGGCTGTTATCTGTTACCCGCCAATAAATACAAGATTGCAGAGTACACACCAGAGTGACAGCTTTTATTTTGCTTTAAATACTTTCCAGGTACCCTCTTTCTGTGCTACTGCTTGTACTCATAGTAGAGGTAAATGACATCATGCACGCACTGATGCGTGTTGTTCTACTGACCAGTGAGGTTTGGCTCTTAAAATTGACACCTGCCGCATGGTGTGTGTAATGAACAGTGAATTTCCCTTTTTTTTTTTTTATATATCATACTTACCATAATTCTGTTTCCTGGCATGTCTTCATGCCGGCATTCTGCAAGTTGGCACTTTCCCTGTGACCCCTATAGGTCCATCTAACTAAAGTTTATCCCATTTATGTTCTGTCACCAGAATTTGTGACAGATAACAAGGGTGGGATTGTATGCTGACATGAAAATTATAGCAAGTATCTATCCAATTTTTCATATTCTTGGCTAGTTATTGTTGGCATACTATGAAATGTAGCAAGAAGACCTGGCTGATGATACCAAGGCCCCAAAAGGAGCCATGTCTATAAAATTGTGACTCCTGAAGGTATTTGACAAAAACCCAACTTGCAGTCTTAACAAAAAAAAAAAAAAAAAAATCTTCTGGCATAAGCTGCCCAGGGTGTAGCCACATCATCTAGAATGGGCACCAATGCACTCGATGGCAGAGGTCCTAGCTGTAAAACATGCTTTATGTATTGCCTAATTGACTTTGCTTAACTCTTCTTTGGACCCTTCCAAAAAAAAAAAAAAAAAAAAAAAATGCTTGCTGGCATGCTGAAAATCAAAGCAGATTTAACAGGTTGATCTCTTCTCCATCTACTGGGAAAGTGGGACCGCTGACTCCAAGCTTTGTTGAAAAGGCATTAAGATGATGGACTTAAGACCACTTTGCCCTGAAAACTCTGGTTTAAAAGGCTCTTCAGCTGAAAAAGGTTCTAAACTCAGACACCCCTCTTGCTGAGGGTGCACCAATCAAAAACCATCCAAAAGGTTTTTGTTTGTTTTTTTTTCTTCTTCCTCCTCCCTCCCCCAGGTACAATTTGACTATGTTGCAAGCTCTGTTCCATCCAGCAGAATACTACTTGTTGTAACATTTTACACTGAAAAGTGTTAATTCTGAAGGCCACCTGCAGGGACCTAGGTACTTAAGGATGATTTACCCATCTGTACTTTCCAAGAATAATAGCAAAGACCTTTCCCAGAAGCTGCCTGGTAAAAGAAGTTGTACTACCTTCCAAGCATACACCCTTTTGAGGATGGTGATGGTGCTACCTTGATATGAAGCATCTGTGAGATGAAAGTCGTACCGATGCAACTCGGTAAAATAATGGTTGCGATGTGTGAAGGAAGATGAGATGAGAAATCAGTATGTGAATTTGCTGAATTTCTCCCTCTAAATAACACAAATTACAGACACCCTAAGCTCAACACTAATTTGGATAACATGCATTTTGCAATCTCACACAAACATCTTGCCTGGTGCCCAGGCTCAGTGTTCTGACTTGTGGCTAAAACATGATATAGCCACAATAAGATTTGCTCAGGACAAAGACAATAGATATTTGCCTGCATATAGATAGAACAGGAGTGTAATGAAGATACATGCCAACTGAAAGCCTCTGCTTCCTTTGAAAAATTGGGCCAGCAGCATGCATGGCCTATACAGTGAGCAAAATAATTTGATCCCCTGCAAATTTTGTATGTTTTTCCACTTACAAAGAAATGAATGGTCTATAATTTTTATAGGTGTTTTTTAAATGACAGAGACAGAATATCAACCAAAAATGCAAAAAAAACACATGATCTAAATGGAGTTGCAA